GCGCCGCCGCCCCGACCCCGCAGGTCGCCTGGAGCGGGTTCTGAGCAAGAGGCCAAGGACTCTCGGTATCCGGGAGCCACGGGTTCAGGGGAGCGAAGACCAAAGAGAGCGCGGGGTCTCCGAACCTGAGGCCCTTCTGGATGGGTGGCCCCACGGTCTTAGTCCAACTTCCTTCTTCATCCCGCGATGGGAGTGGGCACTGCCACTCTGTCCTTTATTGTTCAGATGTCTGCTTCCTAACTCCCCGGGCAGCTCCGGAGAGATGACCAATACCTTGAGACCCCAGCAGATGAGAAGGGGAGAGGTCCGAGTCTGTGCTCAGATTGCAGGGCTCTGCCCACCCTCCAGCTCACAGAACCTCTCTGAGGGCCTGGCTCCTTAGGTACCCTAAGGATTGGGGATGGGTCTAATTCCTGTTTGTGCATCAAAAACAGTTAAGTCCAAGAAGCCAAGAAACAGGCTTCAGGAAAGGAAATTCCTGGGCAGAAGAGCTGTTGAAGCTTCGGCACAGACCGGAGGCAAGGATGCTCCCATGTGCTCTGCCTGGCTGATTTCCAATCGGGGGACATCAAGGGATCATCAAGTGTAAAATATGTGCAACCTGGAAAATGCGTGAAGGGTTCTGCACATCTCCTTTGGGCTTGGAGATTTGAAGGAAAGTGGTTTTGTTTGTGATAGTTCAGCTTTCCTTTGTCTTGACTTGGAGGAGCTCTGGGTCCAGAATACAGCAGTCTGGTTTAAAAAATACATTGCAAAGGAGGGGGAAGAAGCTTGAGTGACATGCTGAGTCTCCAGGTCAGAGTCAACTTGGGCAAGAGAGCAGGGACAACACCAGAAAGCCCCTTCCTTCCCTCCCTCAAGTACCCTTGCCCTGTGGGCAGGTGGTTCTCGGGCTGGGGTTGTGTTACTCTGAAGGAAATCTGGTTTTAAGTATCCCAGGAAGGATGGGGTGCTTGCTGTATCCAAGTGCACAGGGTTAGCTTTGCTTTCTCAACCAGCACTGGGTCTAGTAAAGTGGACACCAAATTTGTATCAACCTGTCACCCCTGCCCTCATCTTGTCCTCTCCCCAGCCTTCTGGAGGAAGAAGGGGTTCCAAGATGCATGACTGATGCATGTGTTTAGACGCACTCAGATTCCATGGAGTGGGCTAGGTGTCACTACGAAGGCGGTCCACACTGGAGGAGCCTTCTGCCCCTCAGCTATGTACCCATGCCTTTGAAAGATGACCTGTGCCCTCTCCTTCTGAGGGTGCTTCTCAATGCCCAGTGAGATCAGAGACTGCTGGGGCCCTCCTGTTCTGATGCTGTGTGTAGCCGGGGCCACACCTGTGTCCTTGGGAGACTAAGCCTGGTGTAGACTGTTTCTTGGGAGAGCCTTCGCATACCCCATCGTGGGCTCTGAAGTGCTCTGGGAGGCTCCTCAGGGCTGCCAACATGCTAACTTGGGTGGAGGGGAAGGTTGGGGGCACAGGTGGGTCCTGAGATCCAAAGCTGCCCCCTACCATGAGCACCTGAGAGCCTGGGTCTATAAAGAGGCCAGTGCTGCACCTTCTCGGATGCTGACTCCCAGACTCCTCCCTCCCTGGGGGGTGTGGAGCAGTGGGCCAAGTCCGAATTCGAACCTTGACCCTGGGGCCCTCACATAGGCAGCACCCCCCAGACATCTGTCCCAGGGAACCTGCGCAGGCCGTGTGTAAAGGCTTAAGGGAACGTGCTTTTTCAGAGTGGATTTGGAAGCGTTGCAGTAACCCACTGGAGTCCAGTAGGGAGCATTGCTTTGTCAGACTTGCTCTGAAGGCAGGCAGCGCAGGCAAACCTCACCACAATGGGGAAAGGCCGATCAGCCCACTGCGGGCTCCAGCCACCACCACGCTCTTTCCCTCTTAAGCAGTCCCTGGGCAGCCACTGCCCTCCCTGCATGGGGAGGCCACAGAGGCGGGAGGAGGAGCTGGAATCTCACACCTGCATGAAGGGCCCTAGACGGAAGTGTGCTTTTGATTCTAAGAGAGATGAAGAAACTGCAGTTGGTGGGTAGCATGCCAGTGACTCTTTGCTCTCAACACCTGTAAACCTTGCCGGTAATTGGACTACAGATGTTCCCAGGCTGGATTCAGGCTTGACAGACTCCTCTGGGCCTCCCACGTGCCGAGGTGTCTGGAAAGGGGCTCCCTGGTGTTAATTTGTTTTCCCTCCTATTTATCATTATTTTTTTAGATACCTCAATGTCCGACAAAAAGCTGTTTTGTAAAGAAATCAGAGAATGTTAGCAAAGCTGGGCACAGGGCGAAAACAAGGACTCTGAGGCAATTGAAGATATTTGGGGTCCTGTGGGGTGAAATGGCCCCAGCTCAGGAAAGCCTCCTGCAGGGAACCGAGAGCAACCCTAAGGGGAAAGGAGACCATCACAGCCCTCTGCCTCTG